GTGTCCTGAGTGCCTCAACGTCGATATGTGTCGTGATAAAGTGGGCACCGACGATAGCTATAGTAGCCATTGTTGATGCACTACGAGGCAAGCCAAGGCAAATCCGGAGTGCCTGGGACTGAACACTCTGTAGCGTTCGAAGGCTTGTTTTGCTTGCATTGGTCAATGCCGGTAAACTGTACCACAGGAAACCGAGAAAAAGTACTCTGTACAGCTGTAGCATTGCACTGGGAGACGTTCCCCAAGTCTTTTCTGCAAAGAATTTCAGTATAATACAGATGTCCATTAACCGTTTTTTCATGTACGAAACGTGATCGCTCCATGATAGATTCCTGTCAATTATGACGCCCAAAAACTTGTGCGATCGAACGTATGGTACTGTTTCACCATTGATGCTTATAGTGTACTTATCCATAGGCTTTCGTGTAAAAGCTACGAGGGCGCACTTCTCGGAAGAAATTTCCAAGCCTCGATTTCGGAGGAAGCGTAATGTATCAGTGGCAGCTTTTTGAATTCTCCCTCGTAACTGCAGCCGTGTTACAGCCGATGCCCAAACGCAGATATCATCTGCATACATTGATAGCCTGACCGTGCTTGGCAGATGCTCAGTGAGAGCAATTAACGTAAGATTGAACAGCCCAGGGCTGAGTACGCCACCCTGGGGGACGCGACGGTGGCTGTGATGTGGAGAGGTTGGACCGTCTTCTGTGCTCACAAAGAAGGATCGCATCGACTAATAACTACATATCCAGCGATGCATCCGACCACCTACTCCTATATCTTCGAGAGCGGTGAAAATAGCTTCATGCGTAACATTGTCATATGCCCCTTTGACGTCTAGGAACAAAAATGCGCAGAGATGCTTACGGCCTTTCTCGTGTTGGACATAAGTGACCAGGTTGACTACGTTGTCAATCGATGCTCGACCTGCCGAAATCCTGCCATGGCATCTGGGTAGATGTTGTTACACTTCAAGAACCACTCCAGGCGTCCAAGGATCATCCTCTCCATAACCTTGCCTACACAACTGGCCAATGCGATCGGACGATAAGATGGGAGGTCCAACGGTGACTTGCCTGGCTTCAGAAGTGGAATTAGGCGACTTGTCTTCCAGCTTGTCGGGAGCGTTCCATCTTGCCAGGATTTGTTGTACAACTCCAAAAGGACGATTCTCGCGCGTTCACCTAGATGACACAAGGCCCTATCAGAAGTTCTATCGGGCCCTGGTGCCGACAGGCGTCCACACAAAGCTAGTGCTGCTCTGAACTTCACGATGGAAAAAGGCATATCCATGCGGAAATCCAGTGTTTGTGGACAGTTAGCTGAGGGCAATAGGCTATTTGGCACTGCGAGTGGCCCAGACACTCTGGCACAGAAGTCTTCTGCCACGTCAATGCCGCGTCTCTGTTGAGAAAGTGCGAGAGCCCTGAATGGTGACCACTGAGTGGGTTTTGTGCGGAGACCTCGTACTGTCTTCCACAATTGGGATAAAGGTTTTCGTGGGTCAAGCGACTCACAAAAAGCAGCCCAACGCTGTGACTCGAGTTTATTTACCCGGCGCTGAATCTTCTTTTGTATACGTCGAGCAATCTGTAAGTCTTCTATTGCCTCTGTGCGTCGGTATCTTCGTTCAGCACACCGTCGGATTGCTCGAAGTCATTCTAGCTAGATGTGAAATTCCGTTACTTTGGGATAGCAGGTGAGGGTACACTTAGTATCGTGTATTGAGCTTTTAATTATCTCCTCTATGTCGAGGGATATGTTTGCTTCACATTGCTCTTCCATGCGAGACTGGAATTTCAAACAGTCTACTCTCTGAACACTATCGCGTATCTTAGCATGGGACAATCCTGTGATTTTGACGTAAGTGGGAATGTGGTCACTTCCATGTGTTTCTATGTCTCGAAACCACTCAGCATGCCTGACGAGGCCTCGTGAGACAAAGGCCAGGTCAAGGCAGCTGCTATACCTTGAACCACGTAGGAACGTTGAACTGCCATCATTTAACAAGAAAAGTTGATTGTCGGAGGCGAAGGATACCAACTTTCTCTTTTTAACATTGGTCTTCGAACTTTCCCAGATTGTATGATGGGCGTTGAAGTTGCCAATTATAATGTATGGGTGAGAAGTTGCTGACAGGATAACTTGTAGTCTTGTATGGTCGAAACGGCTTGATGGAGACAGGTAGGCACCCACAAACGTGATGATAAGTCTCCTTTTCACTGTTATACTTATATATTGATTGTCGTCATGGGGTGACAACGGATGATGAATGTAGGTGAGGTCGCGGTGAATAAACATCAGAACTTTGCTATTGTCCGCAGTTGTAGACGACATGAATGACTCATAACCAGAAAGTATTATTTCTATCTGCAAATTTGGCTCGCAGATGACAATAATGGGGAACTTATTGGTGTACACAAACCGATGGAAATCAGCGATGTGTGACCTCAGTCCCTGGGCATTCCATTGAATAATCGCTGCTTTTCGGACCTCTTCTCTGAAAGACAGTGGCTGGTGAGCCATTATTTACTCAAGCACTGTGACTACTGGACTCAAAGCGTCCAGTAATTGCATTGCACTTCTTGCTGACGGTGTGTGCATGTTGCTTAACAACAAGCGAATGGCGTTAATTAAGGGTGGCAAAAGAGCTATCACTTGCTGATCTGTGTTCCGCAAGTCCTCCATTGCAGCAGCTTGCTCTGAAGCAGACGGCTTCTGCTGTGGCTCCTCTGAGCGTTGCGTACGCGTAAGTGGAGGCCACTCTTCTGTAGGAACTGGTCTGCCCCTTTTCTCTTTTCCAACGTCTGTGTTTGCCATGCTGTGAACTGCAGCTGGCGATCTTTCCTGATGTGTCGACCTATTGCTTGAAGTTGGCGCTCTCCGACGTGAAGACCTTCGACGGCGACGTCGTCTTTGCCGGATTTTCTCGGCAGCTTCTTTGTGGGTTGAGCTGTCTCATACCATTTGCTTCAGAATAGAAAATTCTTTCCTTATGTGTGGACATTTTTTCGAAGAAGCCTTGTGAGCACCCTGACAGTTAGGACACTTCAGTATGGTAGCGCTAAAGTTCTCTTCCGTGTGTGGTTCGGCACACCGGGGGCACGCTGCGGAGCTCCTGCAAACACCCTTTACATGGCCGATCTTCTGACAATTGAAGCATTGCACGGGTTTAGGAATGAACGTTCAAACTTCTTGACGAAAGTGGCCAACCTTCACGTATGCGGGAAGACAGTCGCCTTTGAATGTTACTCTCACACAGCGTGTGTTACCAAGCCGTCCAACGCTGACAATGACGTTGTCTTGACTCGCTGGTTTTATAAGTATTGGAAGGTCTGCATTTGGGATTTCCGTGTTAATGTCGTAAATGACTCCTGATGTGGTCCCACTATCGGCTGGTATGATGGACCTAACTGCAATGTTTCCCAGTTGTGTTACTTGTAGCAGCGTGCTCAGCGCACTCGGGTGCCGCACATCGACAGCCAAGATCTTTCTCCTAGTATTAGGTCGTACGTCTTTGATCTCGTTCGGCACAGTGTTCTCAAATTAGAGCGAAAGCGCTAGCCTGTTCAGAACACGCAGACTTTCAGTAGCGTTCTTTGGCACAAACAGGATGGAATGGGGCCATCGCTGGGGCGCCGTTTTCACGGTGGCTGTACTTGACACCGGCGATGGATCGATGATCCGTCGCTTGGCCTTGCGGTGCAGGACAGGTTGAAAGCTGTCGTCTGAGGACTCGTCGCAAGATGTGGAGTACAGCTCAGTGTCATCGCATCACTGGATGTGTTTCCTTGCTTCCTCAAGGTAGTGGCCACGGTCGAACCGGAATCGGACGTCACCTTGTGAGGTTGTACATTCATTACCGCAACCTACGGGGCAATACACCCCACAACTGCAGCGAAAAGTCCAGAAAAGCACTGAGACGAGCGAGATGTGTTCTACAAAGAATCACTTCGTCTTCCTTCTCAAAAAAAAAAAAATATAGGAATGTCCTACAAAAGCTTCCCTCTCATCTCCTATGTTAATAGTCATCGTTTAGGCAAATGCAATGTTCTGTCCTTTAAAGTGAAACACAAAAATAAAAAGGGTGTAATATAGCATGTGTACCACAGTAAATTTTAGTCACCGTAAAAGATATCAAATAATTAGTGATATAATGAACCTCATGTCACAAAAGCATATGTTTATCATCAGCAATAAGAATTGTCATTTTATTGATTTAATTACACACAATAAAATACACTTGAAGTGTATTTATACACCACATTTTTAACAGCTGAAGCGCAAAAATGTAACAAAGGAGTAAGAGAGACAACAAGTGCGAGTGCTAACTTCCAAGTAAAAGTTTATTGCGAAGCACTAAGAATATATACCTGTCACATGACATCACAATCGCATCAAAGAGCGCACAAAGATGACAAAAAACTAAGCAGCAGCGAATTTTACATAAAAAAAGCAAGTGCCGGTAACTTCAAGTAATGTAGTTCTTTTTTTGTTAGTGCGATGGATGTCTTGCTGATGCAGGTTCGATTTGCTGTCACTGCCGCCTCAATGATGAGCCTTAAACAATTGTTAGAGTGAGGCGACGGCGATAGCAAATCGAAACTGCATCAGCCAGACATTCATTGCACTAACAAAAGAGAACAAGATACCGGCACATGCTTTTTCTATGTAATATTCGCAGCTGCTTAGTGTTTTTCCTTCATCTTTATGCATTGTTTAATTTGATTGTGATGATTTGATAAGAAGTTAGCACTCGCACTTGTTGTGCCTCTCACCTCTTTGTTACCTGTTTGTGTTTCAGCTGTTGAAAACATGGAATACCAACTAGTCCGCTCCCACACCTTGCTTCAGCAACAACCACATTGTTTGTGTCCTTGAAATTATACTTAACATTTTGTGATGCTCGGTACTTGCATAACATATAATGACAATACACAGAGACAGTACACAACAATGCACACGCAAATATTTAGGGCCAACAATACTTGTTCACTCACCTGAGAGGATGAAAAATTGCTAACACCAGGAACAGTAGTAGAAGATGATGCGAGTACCAGAAAAGATCGTAGCACGATCTCCTGCAAAAGAACAATTAAAATTCACTATGTAAATGTCATGCTAAAATATGTAATGTTAGCCGAATGTTTTTGCAGTTTTGCTGCTCCATGTGCTGAGAATTGTTTTCTTATTCTCGATAGACTTATTTTCTGGTCGAGCGTCAGTTTTCTCAGCCGCATGCCTATAGTTGAAATGATTGTGGCAGCTTGTTCAACATAAAGATAATTTTGTTCAACATAAAAACAATCTATAAAATCATAATAAAAACCTTAGTGGAGCTTAAAGAAAGAGTTCGGCTAGTTCCTAAGAACCTATAACATCATAACAGTTCAATCATCTAAGCATCAGAAGTATCTCAAAATTCTGATAAGTGAGCTTTGCCGCACCGTTCTTCTTTCTTGTACTTGCATGAACATATAGTTAGCGTGACAAAAAAAATGGCACACAATCCGTGGTTTTGCTCTAAGTGCAAAATTTTGCGCAAGCTTTCAGTTTCACGCACGTAGTTATGCATCATTGCACTCTGCTTACATGAAAGATTATGGCACTGCACTGAATACACTTGCACACAAATAAGCAACAAAGGCACCTTTTTCCCTTCAAAGCAAGGAAAATGGTAAACACAATCGGGAAACAGAGTATGAAAGCAACTATTCTGATGTTCTTTACAATACGTTCACAACATTTCTCGCAATTTGATGTGTTTGTGAGCCCACAATGAGTTAAATTATCAAGTCTAAACAATTTTCCGCCTAAAAAAATTATCAGAAACCAGCGCCAAGGGATGTGCTTTAGTTTTTACACACACATTGACTGAATACAGTAAAAAGCCTGAGGTAAGCACATCACTAGTTGAGATTGTTGTGTTTGAAACTGTGCGTTGTGCGCGTGCTGGATGAACGTGACCCCCAAATGCTGTAAGTTATTTTCCAGGATCAAGAAAAATGCCCAGAAAACACGTCGAGTAGCTTGCGGTCCATCCCATTAGCCAACCAAAAGTGGAACCACATCTCACCTGACACACTTGAGCGATGCGACAGAGAGAAACACCAAAAGGCACACCATTGCTAGTCCAGTCCAACCTGGAACTAAAAGAAATCACCATTACTCAGCTTGACAGGATGCGTAAGACTGGCATGCAAGATGTTTTGTTCTGAAGTTGCACTGTTCGAAACTGTATTTCAGCTATAAGTGATAAACCACACCGCAACATCGTATTTTACACGTCAAGCCCGCGCTTATGAATATCGTGTGTGTTCCTATGGCATTGTCATACAGTCGTCAGTGGACGTGTACCCAAATAATTTCTGCACAACCATCTTGCTGATCACTCCGTACACTTAAAAATTGTGTGCATATCTGATATGCATAAAGGTACAAGCTGTATGTACCGAGGGATAGAGTGATGCTGAAGAATTGTTCTGCAAGTGAACTAGAAGCGATGCCTTCTTGTTTCGGTGGCTTCATAATTACGGCAATCATGTTTTTTCGAAGACCCCACTTATTTGAAAGGCCATTTATTCTGCAGTAGCACTGAATGAATGAATGAATGAATGATATGAGCAGAATGCTTCTTGTGCAGCCCGGTAAAACATTGAAGATCCACAAAGCGCTAACAAGAATTGCTTATACCAAACCTTTTATAACGAAAATTATCGGTTTAATGTTATTCATGAGTGCGCAACATTAACTAAGTACACTCAAAATAGAAAATTTTCCATATCTTTCTTGCCTTTTGCAGTGTGAAACAGATTGATTGATACGTGCGGTTTAATGTATCAAAACCACCATATGATTATGAGAGACGACGTAGTGGAGGGCTACAGAAATTTCGACCACCTGGGATTCTTTAACGTGCACCCAAATCAGAGAAAACGGGCCTACAGCATTTTGGCTTCCATCGAAAATGCAGCCACCACAGTCAGGATTCGATACCGCAACCTGCAGGTGAGCCGCTACGCCACCGCGACGGGGCTAGTGTGAAAGAGCAGTGAGAAAGATAGTGTAAAGCGAAACTTCGACGAACTCTATGACTTTTTTTTCTGCAGGAGAAAAATGTGGGACAGTGGTTTCGCAGTAGTGGGGGAAAATTCACACTTGTACCGAAGTTGTTTCTCTGAGATTGATTTTATTCAAAGCTATCGTGGGTGTACAATGCCACTAAGCAAAATTATGTGTCTGCCTTTGCACTCAATATGTACTGATGAGCTAGTTCGTGAGTCATGATCTTTTTATGAAGCAGCTGTGCACAAAAGGATACAAAAAACACACAAGCAGAAAAGACACTAGCACAAGCGGTCTATTAGAACTGATGATTTATTTTCGAATGATCCAGTTTATGTAGAAGAACACGCACATGCACACTAACAGAAGTGATGAATACAACAAAAATAATAATAAAAGTATGTAAAAGGACGTGCTACTCATAAAAAGTTGCGAAAATGATTGATAGTTGGGGTTTAACGTCCCAAAACCATATGATTATGAGAGACGCCATAATGGAGGTATCTGAGAACTTCGACCACGTGGGGTTTTTTAACGTGCACCCAAATCTGAGCACACGGGCCTACAGCATTTTTGCCTCCATCGAAAATGCAGCAGCCGCAGCAAGGATTCAATCCCAGGACCTGCGGGTCAGCAGCTAAGGGCCTCAGCCTCTAGACTACTACGGCGGAGCAAAGTTGCAAAAAAAAACCCCACTAGGTATGTGGTTATACTAAAGTATCGGCGCGCTTTCTTAGAGAACTATACCGAAGGGCAACTGACTCGCTTATCTTTTTCCTTGTAGACTTCAACTGCCTCGAATATTGCCCTCGTTTCCTTGTTGCGTTACTTGCACACAACCAACATACTGCGTAGAGTGGGAGCACAGTTCCAATCCCTACAATTCAAGGCCAAGTGTCCAGCATGTTTAGCCGTGACGTGACGGTTGTGTTCCGTTGAACTTGTGTTTAGGCACCTGCCTGCGTGACCAATGTACACCTTGTTACCAGTCAAAGGGATCTTGTAGATCATCTCGTCTTTCGAGCATGCCGCGTATAGGGCTTGCGGTGCCTGATTTCACAAGACTGCGTGTGCTTCTTAGTAGCATTCACCTTCTTGCCCCGCCGCGGTGGTATAGTGGCTAAGGAAATTGGCTGCTGGCCCGCAGGCCGAGGCATCGAATCCTGGCTGCGGTGGTGGCACTTTTGATGGAGGTGAAAATGCTGTGGGCCTGTGTGCTCAGATGTGGGTGCACGTTCAAGAACCCCAGGCAGCCAAAATTTCCAAAGTCCTTCACTACGCCGTATCTCATAATCATATGATGGTTTTGGGACGTTAGACGTCACATATAAATCAATTTGTCTTGTCGCGTAGGTCGGTCCATTGCACTGTTGCTGAAAATGCTACGTAAACAATGGCTTTTCACACTATTTTTAGCGTGCACATAGGGTATCACCACCATGCCCAGCCGGTTTCTGCTTGCGGCAGGATTTTTTGCATTTTCTTTTTGTGCAAGCATTCTACAACCGAAAACATTATCAGCTTCTGCCTAACTGAAAATTCACAAACCCGCAATGCTGGCATAATGGAAGAAGATGAGCTTACCTGTCCTGAGTATCATCAGTAGCGGATCCTGCAAACAACAAATGCAGAAGGAACAATATGTAAAGCATTAGCAAATTGTGCTCTGCACAGCGTTTCATTTTCTTTCCATGAACAAACATTTACCCACTATTTTCAAACCCCCTGCAGGAACCTTTTTACAGCATGTAGCTGAATGGTTCCCCAAAAAAGGAAATGATGACGAGCTTTCGAATTTTTCGCCCTAGGTAAAAACATTTTATGAATTTTAAACCAAGCCCATACAGTGTCTGAACACCGTCCCGGTAAATACATTTTGCTGATCAGGCTGGTACTGCCTGAATGCTTACATATTATTAGCTAATGCATACGAAGACTGCAGAGAAATGACCTGTCAGTTCAAATTAAAAATTAAAATCGTATATGTAACTGGCATGCCTTCAAACTTGCATTTTAAATGGATTATCATCAAGAGAATTTACTTTCTGGAGAAACGTCTCTGTAAGCAAAATATGCCACACTTAGTTCTCCTTGACAATAAGTTGGCCCCATATCTGCATGTAATCTGCAAATGTCATCGAAATACGATAGTCTTGCGTCTGGAGAGAGTGAACAAAATGTTTATTTGATATTCTGTGCAAGGAAATTGGTGAATAATATTCTGGAGGCGCTGCATTAGAAAGCCTCGAGCGTTTAGCGTAGGTGAACAAGCGCATCAAGTCACGTCACACGTGATACATGAGCCCCATCTGGCAGTTTTCTTGTAAAACAAACCGTGTGGCTCTGAGACGGGTGTGCGCGCCTGTCTCAGAGGTGATAAGGTGTAGAACGCAAGGCGATGGGTAGGGGCCACCACCGTTTCGTCTTAGCAAAGCGTTGGAAACACTCGCCTTTTCGTGCAAACTTTACATGGTCAGCGTCGCATGATAAGCGCTACGGTCCTTGAAATTACTTATGTATGTCTTTTCTAGCAAAAGACGCACATGCAGATTATATACGTGTTGGTATGATGCCCTAGACATGCGCAATAATTGCTTTTTAAGTGACAATTTCACAAGTATGAACGCTAAATCTAGAGCAACATTGGTGTGCGCTGCGGATGGGGTCAGCCGTTTTAAGTACCCGGTGGCTTTAAGAGTGGATAAACAGACAAATGTACAGACAGACAGACAGAGCGACAGACAGACCAAAATTTTTGTGTCGAAAGTCCCCAGGAAAGACTATCGTATTTAAAAAGGACCCCATCCGCAGGTAATCCTGAAGAAACGCAGATGCATTTCTTGTGCCGAGAGAGGGTTCGGTTGCCGTCCGTATGATATTCGCCTTCACCAAATTTTGTCATCGCTTTCAGAGGCACCCAGCCAGCGAACGGTTGAGGGCTTGCGGAAGGGAGAGTGGGGCGCCAACGTTCTTGGCTCCCGGTTGGCGTTTCACCGGCGGGTTATCGAGCACACATTTCCGGATATTCTTGAGATGCGCAGACAGCGAAAGGTGGAGAGTGAGGTGCAAGCGGACATGAAAGTGAGGCGCAGGGAGGAGAGAGAGGAACAGCGAAGCAATGCACCTACCTGCTCCTACACTTTCTCGCACCAAATGCTTTGGTTGCTTAGAGCTAGGATAAGCGCGCACGTCCGCAGCTGTTGCTTTGCGAGAGAGAGTGAGAGCGGGAAGATAACACCTGCCGGTGCGTTGAAACCGCCGCGGACAACGACGGATGCTTAACAGACCCCGACTAAGAAATGCATTCGCGTTAAAAAAACTGTTGATGCTGCATGGTCTGTGCTGTATATGTCATGACATGAGGTGAACAACTTTGAACTTTGTTCTTAATTGAGCGATTTCATGCGCAATTACAATAAAGCATTTGAAGTGTGCTGTGGAAAACTCCCAAACTTTGAAAAGCGTTGTAATTCGTAGCCTGTGAATAAATGCTCAAGCGATATGATGGTTGTCGGCAATAAGCTACATTCATGTTCATACAATGTACTAGGAAAAAAATTCACAACATATCCACGAAGAGAATGATGATAAGTAAGGCAAAGCGTTCCGTTCGTCCATCTGTCTGTTTGTCACTCTGTCTGTTTGTCTGTCCATTCATCCGTCCGTTAGTCCGTCTGTCCGTGCACCTGCCTCTCCATCCGTCCACGCCTATCACGCTAGAGCATGCATCAGACAGACGTACGGACAGATAGACGCTTCGCCCCACTCATCATCATTCACTCTGTGGATATGCTGTAAATTTTCTATAATAGCGCCAATTATCTTTTTTAAATTCAACTATAAGAAAACTGTTAACGCCATTTTTTTCTTTTTATTCATCAACTATACGAAATCTGCTAATTTTGGTTCCGTGGAATAGTGGTTAGTGCCGCGCACTGGAAATTAAGAGGTTGCTCGCTCGACACCGCACGAAAAATTTTTTTCTTCTCGTTTTGTTTTCTTTGCAATCTTTTAGTATCGAAGTTACAACGTCGCATGCGCGATAGAAATATGTCATCAGTGCCGTGGCGGAACCCAGCATAAAACACTTTGGTGTTGAAACTTTTCAATGACCGTGCAAAACATTGCACATGTTTTGATTCAAAACTATGGTACCACTGTGTCTCAATTGAAAGGGTCACAGCGCGACCTGTCAACCATATAAATTGCCAGTTTTCAGGCTGTGCCTCTTCATGGTTTTTAACATGCGTAGCTCATGTCCTTGCATTAAACAGAAGCAATCTCTGTTGAAGCGTTCAAAATTTGACACTTTGTAAGTACTGCTGCACAGTTAACTCACCTCTCCGGGATACCTGGCCATATTGATGTCCACGAAGTCGTGCGAGTAGTACGAAGAAAAGTTGCACGCGTTAACAAGGTGCGCCAAAGAATGGACAACTGTAATCAGAAACAACACGAGAGGAGTCAAAGTTGCTTATGTGAAACAAGTTTTCATGAAGGACACCACCTTATTAACAAAAAAAAACTGAGGGAAAGGGATAAACACACGTAAATGTGGCGAATAAAAAAACAAGAGCTTCGTAGGATACTATTGTGGTCAAAAAAATTTAAAACCTTCACAGACGTTATGGAAAAAAAGGTTTACTTCTGGCATACATAAATGACATTACAAATAACGTAGAATCCCGCAAAAAATTATTTGCAGATGACTGCGTCATCTATCGAAGGGTTGCGTTTTCTACCGATGTAGGCGTACTACAGGAGGACGTAAACACCGTAACACGTTGGTGGTGTAACTGGAACATGTGCTTAAATATTTCAATATGTGACCCCTGTGACGTCATCCTGCTGCATTCCGTGGCCGCCTGCTCCAGAGACAAGCGCCAAGACACGCGCTATCTTGGTTTCCTTTATTCGGTTATCACGGGAGTCTTGTGATCATTCTGACTGTATATATTTCACGACGAAACATTAAAGAGGGCTTTTTTCTTGGTCACAATGTAGCGAGCGTCTGTCGATCACTCTGACGAGCTTGACATGGTGTCAGAAGTGGTTCCGATGTAGCCAACTAGCGCTTCAACGGCCCCGTCAACAAGCGAGTGACTGGCAGCTGCGTCTACGAGAACAAGCCGTATCGGCCACAACGCTTAAGAATGGCGGGAATCAAGCCTTCTAAGCCCTTCGACTTCCAGAACGCAGCGGACTGGCCCGCCTGGATGGACGAATTTGACGACTACAGATTCGTGTCTGGGCTACATGAGAAAAAAGACGAAGGTCAAGTAATGACTTTTCTCTATACTATGGGCAGAAAGTCGAGGGAGATAAACGTAAAAGACGAAAAAATGGAGGACTTTAAGCTCGTAAAGTCTAAATTTACCGACTACTTTGTCCACACCAACAACATAGTCTACAAAAGTGCTCGCCTTAATCTACACCGCCAACAACTGGGAGAAACAGTAGACCAGTTCGCAAACGAGCTTAGCAAGTTAGCCGACAGATGCGAGTTCGCAGGCATGAAGGAACGCCTAATAAGAGACCGCTTCGTATAGTAGGACTACGGGACCAGGTTCTTTCGGAAGAACTGCAGATGGACCCCAAGCTAACGATGGCCACTGCTTTGGCAAGAGGGCGTACGAGCGAAAACGTAAAGCAAAAGCAAGCAGAACTAAAAGAGCATGAGGGCACAGCCCCAGAAGCTTGCGTCGCCGCAGTAAAACCCAAGAAAGCTGCTGCAAAGATCACGTTTACTCGCCGTCAGAAGCACGCTTATCATCAAAATAACTGCAGTTATTGTGCCGGACAATTTCACCCGCGAAACAAGTGTCCAGCGCAAAAAGAAACGTGCAGATTTTGCCAGAAGTTGGGCCACTATGAAAAGGCATGCCGAATAAAGAAGCAAAGAGACACAAATCTCGATTGCATCGTCGAAGCTGATGGCAAGTTTATAGGCACGGTCGAGCAGTGTGCGAACACATTCCGAGCATTTCGTGACGGTAAAGATAAACGACAAGACGCTCCGCATGAAAGTAGATACGGGAGCCCAAGTGCACAGTCATCGGTGAAAATTATCCTTTTCTTCCATTTTCTCTGGAAAACACAGCCAATCTTAAAGGACCTAGCAATACTAGCATCCGTACGATCGGAAAGTTTGACGCTAAAATATCTTGGAAAGACAGCTGTTCACAACAAACCATTTACGTCGTGCAGAACTTGCGCACGCCCTTGTTGGGACTACCAGCCATAAAAGCTCTGGGAATTGTTCGCTTCCTGGATGAATTAGACACTGCTGACAATATCGGAAGCAAGTATCCCAAGATATTCCAAGGCACGGGTACCATTTCGGGAGAACACACCATACGCCTTGTGCCACATGCAGTCCCGTACAATATGTCTACACCGTGACGGGTTCCTATTCCCATGAAAGAAAAAGTTAAAGAAGAACTGGACAGGCTAGAATGAGAAGGAATGATACAGAAGGTCGAAGAACCGACAGAAAGGTGCGCGCCTATCGTTCCTGTAATGAAGCCGTCTGGAGCAGTAAGGATCTGCTTTGACTTAACTCAATTGAACCAGTTCGTCAGACGAGAGCGTCATCAACTTCCAACAATTGAGCAAGTTATGGGAAGCTTCCAGGAAGCCAAAGTCTTTTCTAAACTAGACGCGCATTCTGGTTTCTACCAGATTAGGCTTTCCGAGGAATGTCAAAAGCTCACGAAGTTCATTACGCCGTACTAGGTTGCCGTTCGGGATTACATCCACACCTGAAATTTTTCAAAAAAAGTTCTCGCAAGTCCTAGAAGGCCTAGACGGCGCACTGAACTACATGAATGACATTCCGGTGTACGGCAAGAACCAAGTTGAACACGACAAGCGGCTTTGTAACGTCCTCGAACGACTTCAACAAGCAGGCGTAACTCTCAACAGGGAAAGGTGTTGTTTCTCAGTTAAACAGGTCGCATTCTTGGGATGATCTTCGATGCCAACGGCATGCGTTCAGACCCCGAGAAAGTTAGGGCAATCAAGCAATTACCCAGACCCCAAAACGTTGCTGATGTTCGATCCTTGTTAGGTATGATGAACCATCTCGCAAGGTTTTTACCTGATGCAGCTTCAATGTCTGCTCCTTTACGCAGCCTCCTCAACAAGGACAGTGACTGGTTTTGGGGACCTCAACAAGAGACAGCTTTTGAGAAGATCAAGAACACTCTCAGCTCAGACAGATGCCTGGCGAGGTACAACCCCCGGTACTCGACAATTGTATCGGCGGACGCGTCTTCACTACGGGTTGGCGCAGTACTCCTCCAGGATCAGCCATCTGGTGAGAGACGTCCTGTTGCATATGCCTCCAGAACGCTCACAAAAACAGAGCAGAGGTATTCACAGATCGAAAAAGAAGCATTAGCTTTAACTTGGGCTGCGGAACGCTTCGACGAAATCCTAAGAGGCCTCACGTTCCTATTTTAGACGAATCACAAGCCTCCCCTCCCGCTACTTGGTCGAGATTCTCTTGATTCTCTACCGTCAAGAATTCAGAGGTTCAGAATGCGTCTTATGCGGTACTCGTTCACGCTAACACACGTCCCGGGGAAAAGCATTTCTACGGCGGACACACTTTCTCGCGCGAGAGTGATGAACACTGCACTTTCGGTCGGAGAGTTGTCTGAAGCAGACGTTTTGGCTCACGTGGAGGGAGTCGTTCAGTATGCGTTCTCTGACGACATGCTCGAACGCATACGCTCAGAGCAAGCAAACGACCCCGAATGTGCGTCGTTGCTCGAAGCTTGTATGCAAGGTTGGCCCACTAAGCACTACACACCACAACTTCTCAAGCCATTCTGGGTGCATCGTGGTAACATCACGGTATGCAAGCAGCTGCTTTTGAAGGACTCAAGGCTGGTGATTCCACGAGCGCTGCGGAAAGAAATGCTTTGGAGGGTTCACGAGGGACACCAGGAAATTGCACGCTGCCGCGCGAGCGCTATAGAATCTCTCTGGTGGCCAGGAATTAGCAAAGATATTGCACAAACCGTGGCCAACTGCCAAGCATGCGCCACAGAACGTACCCAATTTTCCGAACCAATGATTCCATCAGAAACAACCGAGCTGACATGCACAAAATCGGAATTGATTTATTTGAGATGAAAGGAGCTGTCTATCTTGCCGTTGTTGATTATCACTCCAGGTATCCTGAGCTGGCCCTGCTGGATCAAGGAACGTCGTCTAAGGCGGTCATCCAGCACCTGAAAAGCTGCTTTGCCAGACATGGGATACCGCAAACGGTAATATCAGGCAACGGACTACAATTCATCTCATTCACGTTTGCTGATTTTGCAAAAAACTACGGCTTTAGGCATGTCGCAACAAGTCCTCGTATACCCTCAAGCTAACGGGGAAGCTGAGCGCATGATAGAGACTCTTAAAAGCCTTTTGAAGAAGGCAGAGGACCCCTACATCACATTGCTGAACTATAGAAACACGCCGGGTCCAACCGGCTATAGTCCAGCGCAGCTGCTAATGAACCGCCATTTATGCTCAAAAGTACCCTGCATGCCATCTGCGCTAAAGCCAGAAGTAGTAAAGGCTTCTTGGAAAGAGCAAGACGAAAAATACAGACAAAAACAAAAGATGTAATTTGACAAACGTCATGGTGCGAGACCTCTTCCCTGTCTATCCGCAGGCACTTAAGTATGGCTCAAAGACAGAGGCGCCGAGGGCACGGTCCTTCGTCCTTCTAAAACACCGAGATCCTACTGGGTCCGAACTGAAGGAAAAACCGTATGCAGAAACAGGCGTCATCTCTTCCTTCTCCCACACGAAGGAGAAACAAGCCCCGTAAGGATGGGGCAGCATCCACGAAACAGCGAGCCAACGGACGCGACGGACAAAGACATCGTAGCTACCAAGTCGTCTGACATCCAAGAGCTTCGTTTATCGAACAAAACTTCAAGTCCTGAGCAAAGAACGACGCGATATGGGCGCGTCATACGAGCTCCAAAAAGACTTGGTATTGATAATTAATTTCTGAAATGCTTTCCTTTTTTTTGGCAGGCCCACGATGTTTTTAAAACGGGGAAGATGTGACGTTATCCTGCTGCATTCCGTGGCCACCTGCTCCAGAGACAAGCGCCAAGACACGCGCTATCTTGGTTTTCTTTATCCGGTTATCACGGGAGTCATGTGATCATTCTGACTGTATATATTTCACGACGAAACATTAAACAGGGCTTTTTTTCTTGGTCACGATGTAACGAGCGTCTGTCGATCACTTTGACGAGCTTGACAACGACGTCACTTTTACGATAAATATTCTTAAAAATTCGAAGCTGCTATAGTATTAGTGGCATTGTTGATATACGCTACCAAGGGCACCGATGCCGGGGATCAACTCTGGGCTGTCCTAAAAGCCCACGATGCAGCGGTTGGGCTTGGCCAGACTG